TCACATTTTTCGTACTTGTATGTATGTCTTCTTAGTTCTTGCATATACAAATACTATACTAGTATATTTTAATTTTGGACAAGAATATGTTATGTAATATTTATCCTAGTAATGATAATAAGGAACTCTCATAATAAAAATAAATAATGACTAAAACTTTTTTATTTTATGTTTTTTTATAATTTATATAGAATGATAATACAAAACTATATATTTAATATAGAATATATTGTATATATTAATATGACTATTGTATTTTATAATAAATCTTTTAGTAATTAAACTTTAAAATTATTAAAATAATTTTTTTCTTAACGGGTCGAAACGGGTTACCCACGTGTTACCCGCGTGTATACCTGTTAAGAACCCGTTATTAACGGGTTCTTAACGGGTCACCCGATAGTGACCCGATAAGTTATCGTGTTGACCCGAAACCCGTTATTTTCGTGTCGTTTTCGTATCGTGTCACCGTGTCGTGTCAAAAACTGCCAAGTCTAAATAATATGGAGTCCGATGATAAGAGTTTCTGAAGTAATTTTGAAAAATGTGCTTGTTTTACAACTTTAAAATGCCAACCTACATGCTCTGGTTTCAAGTATTTGGTCGTGCATGTAGGAATAAAGTCATCCTAAGAACACATAATGTTGGAGAAATGCACTTCAAGAGTTAAATATATATAATTGTTTTTACACAATATTATATTTTTAAATTGATTCGAACTTTTCATTTACGATATTCAAATTTAAGACATCTCACTTATAAGTGAAGATGATTACTACTAAAAAATTTTAAGAATAAAATATTAGAAAGAAAAACACACTTACCCATCATGTAACTAACCCTTGCATTTTACTTTTATGTATACTGTAAATTATATTTTTAATGATCTACTTTTACACTTTCGTCAAACGATAATTTGCAAAATTGAATATAACTCATTCCAAAAACAAGATAGGTAGAGATTTGGTAATTTAAATCGAACCGATCAAATCGCACAAAATATGCCAACGGAGAACACTATAACCATGGTGGATCTATGCATGATTTTGAACCTTGGGGGTCCCAGTATTTAATACAAGTTTTTAAGATGGGAACAAAGCATGAAGTGTGCAAAAAAATCAGTTTATTTACTTGGTCGGCTTGTTGTACATACGTCAATAGATACCGGTATATTTTGAAGCAATTTGATTAACGATATAAAGAGAATTTGTCAAGTGTTGTTGATGCAACATGTCAAATATGCCTAGCATGCTTTATATCAAATATTTAGTAAGCAAAAAATGAACCCGTACCAAACATCTGGAGAGTAAGGGGAAGACCTTTACGTATATATTTTTCGACTTCGAATGATCTTGGAACCGCCTTAGTCCTTATTTCCATCCGCCCCTGACTATAACAATGGAGGTTTTCAACGACAAGCTCAAGAAGCCGACGGATACCAACGGTCCGGGCATTTCGTATTTTCGACAAGCCGTCCAGTTTGCTTTTGTTCCCCGTCTACTAAACTTTGCGATTTCCACTATTTTCGACATAAAATAGTTTATAGAAGGTCACCAGGTATTCAATTTTAGCCGCAGGATGAAATCCGACGGCCTCCAAAACTTTGGTATGAATACATTGGCGCACCAAAAAAACATCGTTAACTCTCAATCTCAATCCCACCGTTCAATGGTTCCAGCTGACCAAACCCAACAAGATCCGATCCATTCATGCTTAAGCCATCTCCAACGAAGGAGGGTAAGATGGCTCCTTTTAGCCTTATAGCCCTCCAAGTAATTATTATTTTAATGAATAGTGTCATGCCGTATTTCTTTTCATCTCTAACCGAGGATCAGAGGGTCATAGGCCAAACATAGTCATGTAACAAAAAACCATCTCCAACCAAAGGAGTCAGAAGATCATAGGACCAAACATAATTTATTATTTTAATTAAATTAATATCGGAATTCAAAACAAGATCATAAAGAAATTTCAATACAAGTGTAAGTTCCTCTTTCCAAATTTCAAGGGTTACTGAATTATCTTTCTGGGGTTCGAAAAATAGACAGCCAGTAGAGGTAAAATGGGGAACAGATCTTTTCTTCGATCAACCGGCCGCTGCGAGTAAATACAGTGAGCTTTGAGTAACTAAGTGAAGAAATTGAGTGTGAAAAACATACACTAGAAGTGTGTTGTGCGTATCTGTATATATGTACGGATGGGCAACGGTTATGGCGGACGGGTAACCGCGGTTATTTACCCATAACCATTTATATACATATCCGCATAACCATTTACCCGTTGGGTAATTGCATAAATGGTTATACCCATAACCATAACCGTTTATAAACGATTATCCATGCCTATAACTGTGTACCCATTTAACCATAACCGTGTACCCATTTAACCATAACCATAACCATTTACCTGTTTTTGAACTCGTTTATCTTTTTTTACCCATTTACCCATTTTTTCATCCGTCTACATGTTTTTTTTAACAACTTGAAAATTACAAAATAAAAATTTGTCATAATTTCATTTTCTGACAATTAAACACCGTTATAAGTACATTTTAGCATGCATTTCCCTATTTTAATCATTTAAGTCCTCATACAATTCCAATAATTGAAATAATAGTTTACGAACGATATTTTTCTGCTACACCCAAGCAAGTCTTTAATTATAATTCATATGATTACAAAGTAAAGCTTCTAAAAACAAAAAGTAGTCATTATCTTGAATACTAGATGATTCAAAGCTCCAAAATATTCTGAAACTAAACACTTTCGAACACGTTCAATCACAAAATATCGTCGACTCGTTCTCACCAAAAGCGGCCTACAAAAGAAATGTATAAATTGAATTAGTATCCCATTTAGGAACACTAACACCAATTATCATGAACAGAAGGCATTATGCAAAACCAACTGATATAAATCACCACTGATATAACAGTGTGCTGCTTGTATGGCAATTTCATGAATCAGTTTATAACTTTACAAACATGAATTGGTTACATTAACACAAAACCAAAATGGAAAAAGTAGTCATAAGACCATCATCCTCTCACCCACAAAACCCTATTCGCCCCTCCAATTCAATTTCGGTGGAATTCAATTTTGTGAGTTCTCTGAGGGTTTTTATTTTTATTTTTTTATTTTACATATATTAAATTAAATGAGTAAATGGATATCCGTTATAACCACGGATAATACCTATTAACCAATGGATACCCGTTATAACCACAAATAATACATATAACCGTCCATTTAAATTTCACGGATAAACGGTTATATCCATAACCGTTTATTTGTCTAAACGGTTACCCATAACCGTAACTGCAAACTTTAAATGGACGGGTAACCGCGGTAACCCAAACCCATGGGTATTTTGCCCATCCCTATATATATGTGTACAAAAGGGTCACATTTTGAAGAGGAAAAATCAACCAAAATCCAAGAATAACCCACATGAGAAAACATCTATATCAACAAAACCCAACAATCAAAACATGGATTTTACACAACTCAACAACTTACAGCTGCCATGCACTTAATTATGCCTAAATTCCAACGATTAAATTACAAAAAATAAGACAAAATATCTGGAAATGACAGTCAGATTAAAGCATAAATAATGGGGAGAAGGAAGAGCAGAGAGAGAGGGAATCACCTAAAGAGATGGGGAGGACTACGTTTTGGGGTTTTTCCAAAACCCTCGGTTTGCCTCAGCTTCTTCGATTCCATGGGAGAACCTGAAGAGGTTTCCGCCTTCGCCTTCCGCTTGCAAGCCATTTTGGGTATGGCCCGCAGCTAGCTGGCTGGCTCCTTTGGGCCAGCCAGTTGGCTTGATTCCTTTTTTTTGGTTCGGTGGGGCTTACGAGCTTTTTGGCCTTTTCCTGGGTTGAAAACGTTTTTCTTGTCATTTTTTGTTATTTTCGGCCCTCTTGCCGGAACGGTGTTGGAGATAGTCTTATTATTCTCTCTCTGATGCCAAAACAACGTTACACTCTCAGTCAACTGTCATCCGTGACTTTTGAGTAGTTGTGAGATGATCAAATAACGCTTTACAAACATACGTAGACACATGTCAACATTTAAATGGCGACAACGCCAAAAAACAAGCATTAATTGACAGCAACCAGTTCTCCCAGTCGCAAGAGGATCCTTGCCGGATCCTCTTGTGAGGATCCTTGCCGGATCCTCTTGTGAGGATCCCAGGGATCTTCAAATCACATCCGTTCATCGTACATTATGTGGGCAGAAATCATTGTAATTTTTTTATTTAAAATTGAATATAAACAGTACTGGATGAAAACTGAACGCATGATGTACAATGAACAAATATGATTGGAGAATCCTCAAGATCCTCACAAAAAAGATCCAGCGAGAATCCTCTCTCCTCCCTGTCACCTTTTGCCTCTCATTTATTGCCTCCACCACATTCACTCACCCATCATCACCACCACCGCAACAAACATTTTCACCACAATATTTCACTGTTTGCCCAACAAAATTTAAAAACAAAGGAGAACAAATAAATATGATTTTGACAAACAAACAACTAGAATAAATCTCTACAGCTACCACAAACACATATATGCACATCTCCTTTCTTTTTATGCATATAGATTATGTTCATTATTTTTCTATCAATTCTTTTGTTCAAAATAAAAAATTTAAGTATATCTTAATCTTATTATTTAGTAATATTCCTCTTCATTTTTAAGTGAACAATCTTAAGTTTGATTGTCGTCAAAAATGAATTTGGACCCATATTATTAATCGCTCATTATAAAACTTGACCCACTTCCTTAGATACCATTATTTGTTAAAAAGAATAAAAACAAAGTAAGCGAATTTCATTTTTTGATATTTTTAATAACAATTTAGATTTATTTTTAAGATTACATTATTCTAATTTACTCTAATGTACAAAAATTATAAAACCGAACATGAATACTGAAACCATGTCATGAACATCACATTAACACAGATATTAAATTCAGAAAACTTGAAATAAAATCGATAACTCCGAAAAAGGGTCAATTTCTCCAACACTTTTTCCTTTTCACAATCTATGTTGAGCCAGACTCACTTTCTGGAATTAAACAGGGGTGGACCTGAGTCAATGCCCGAACCACCACCCTTGCCTTGTGCTAAGAACACACACGTGTGCAACTTCACACGCACGTGCAAGTTCCATGTATGTATATCCTAATCACCATGCGAGGACTCTCCACGTGCGGTTCGTTCTTGACTCAATACCCCCACCACATTTACTCATCGTTCCCCCCAACCGCTCTCCCACCCAACAAAACAAAACTACCACCGCCTAAACAACTTACGCCACCGCCCTCCGCCACCGCCATGCCCATCACATGCACAACAACCTTCAATAAAGTCTCCTAACAAAAGCACAAGAGCTAGACAAAAAAAAAAAAACATAAGCTACAAGGTGAGTTTGGATCACGTGATGCCAGTACGATCGGATACATGGATCATCAGCTCTCACAATGGAGGGACGCCTTGATCTTCTGGACCGTGCAGGATATGAGGTGGTTCACCGTCTCCACCGACTCTACGGTCAGCTTGCCCGCCGGCAGGCTGTTCACAAGGATCTGAAACGTCATTGTCAGGAGGGACCCGCTCACTCTATTGCCACCGTCATCACCGCACCCGCCGCCATTGCTGCTGCCGTGAGTGGCGCCTTTGCCGGACATGGGCCCGCGAGAGCCTGGGCCATCAGGGACGATTGCGAACCCGGATGGCAGGAGAGCAACGTAGGCGGAGTCCCCGCCGTTCATGACCACGTGCATGGCCGGAATGTCAACTGGCGCGTACACCACTAGCGACCCCGCAGCGTCTATGCGTGTCTCTTGTAGGATCAGCATGCTGCCTTGGTTTGCGTTTGCCTGTACCATCACAAAAACAAGACCCTCAGTTTCCAATTAATTTACACTCATGCCACTACAGGATTTAAGTCAAACCCTGTACTTTTTTGTTCGATTGAATAAAATAAAATAAATAAATAGAAAAGGTGACGTCAGAAAGTAACTGCACAAGAAGATGCCAATCGTCCTGAACTTTGACTTTTTTGGAGACTAACGAAACAAACACTGTCACCCCAAAACGTCCCTACACATACTTCCAAATTCCAGACTTGTCCTTTCCGCATTTACCTTTTTCACTCGCGGCAAAAAGACACATTTCTGATTTTAAAGTAAATTGACCTCACGCCTCCCCACCAATTATCCAAAAATAAAATAAATAATTGACAATTTCAGAGGGCGGAAAAAAAGGTACTCTGGCGCGGAGGAGGGAAACGCAGTTGCCGGGGTCCTGGCCCTTGGCGATGTGGGCCATCTCCTGCATGGGCCCGCCGTTGGAGAGTATGTCCCACTCGCTCCTCAGTCGCTCATCACGCAAGAAATCAAATAGCCTCTGCGGAGAGACCGGCAGCCAGACCGAAGTGGCAGCGCTGAGCACCACACCCGGTGGCTCGCCGGGGTCGTCGAGGCTCTCCCGAGTCATGACCCGGACGTCCTCGTCGACGTTCCCGGCGTTAAGCTTGGTCCATTTATGCACAGTCGATGCACATACTCCGGCACAGAAGTTGTCTGTCATCCGCTGCGCCAGCTTCAGCATGCTCCTCCTCCCGCTGGCAGTGATAGCTTTTACGAAAAATCCTCGATTAAGAAACATTATCCATATTAATCAATCCACTAAATAATGCTGATGGGCTTATTGATAAATTACCAGTGTGGTCGCGGGATGGGACGGAGGAGGACATGAGAATGGCCTGGAACTCGGATTGGCGTTGAAGGGTGGCGACCCACCGTTGAGCGCCGAAGCCCATGCCGGAACTTAACAAGGGTCGGTATAGCTGGTGGACTTGGCTTTCATCATACTCCGCATGCTCAACCCATGTAACCTGCAACGTTTTGTTACTGATCACATTAGTACATCATTAGCAATTAGGTTAATTAGCTTAACATAATGACACACAGTGTGCTACAGATTTGCACACTTGGAAAACTTGAACCCACCTAACAAAAACCAAAAATGTGGGAAATTTAATAACAAAGCAAGAACAGTTTACAGCCAAGGTAGGCAGAAGCCAGCTAACAAAATTGAAGTTGTTCCAAAAATAGTTATTGGTGCATCCTTAGTGGTTGCAGCATTTTGAGGTAACACATACATAGCGATTTTCTTCGATACGAAAATTTTATTGCAGGATAGTTGCGGAATGTGAAAATGCCAATACAGCAAGTCGAGCAAATAATAATAATAATAGACATGGAATCAATCACAGAGCCATCGAGCTAAAAAAGAGCTTAAAATATTTGGGTGTAGGTAAAGTTGCGCAACATTTGAAGGGGAAGACGGTGACATCGAGATTTGTAAATGATGTTGGTGTATATAATACAACACAATATATACACACAGATATATATATATATATATATATATATATATTTGTATATATGTTTATTTATTAACAGAACCCTAGAGAGGGGAGAAGGGGAGCCATATAGAAACAAAAAACAGGCAGTCTTGGGAGTTTGAGTAGGAGGTCTTGGATTAAGAAAGGGCTGGAATATAGGGCCAAATGACAAGCATCAAAGATTGGAATAGAAACATCAAATGGATAAATAATTAATTTGACCTAATTTGAAGATTTGCAAGGCCGTTAGGGTTATTGAGGATTATATTTATACGACAATTAATGTGTTCAAGGTACAGAAATTTGGGTAATGGAGGCTTCTGATGAATAAAAAATTGAAGGCTCAAATCCTTGGGAGTGTGATAAATTAAAAATAATAATAATTTAGTGTCATTAAAAAATAGGATTGGAATTGTTTAATATTTTAGAATGAGATTTGAGGGCAGATGATAAGATTTTGAAGAAGGTTCCGATTCTTGGAGGGCATAAAATATTGGGTTGGTGAAAACCATCAAAAAACTGAGACAGTGTGGTGATGTAGTGAGTAATCACTAGACAAACATTGTTCTTTGATGCATGAGCTTTTTCTTAATTCATTAAATTAATCATTTAATTAAGAATTGATTAAGTAGTGGCTTTGGAAATGAAAAAAAAAATGCATGATATTTGGACTTAAATAATTGAGAAATGTTGGGGACTCTCTTAAAAGTAGGATTTACCATAAACTCTCTATCACCTCATGTTTTTTATACAATATTTTATAATATTAGCATAAAATTGATGTTAAACTCTGAGGTGTCAGAGAGAGTCTGTCGACAGTCTCACTTTTGAGAGAATCCTCTTAGTGTCAGCCTAATTAATTTCAACAAAGCTCCAATGTTGCAGTTACTTCAACATACTCATTATGGATTTGAATCCTCTCCTGAGCCCAAGGAGAGGATCCTCCTAATCAAGAACTGTGGACCGTTGAATTTTTATCCAACGGCTATAATTATTGTGAAAAGCACAATAAATGTGAAGCAAACAAATGTGAACCATGTAATGTAACTGAAAGTGTGCACTTGAGTTGTGCCACGGTTAATCATCCATGCCCGCTTCACGAGGGCATGGATGACTTTTACGTGATGATTTCCTACAGTTGACAGTTGATGCATGTGAAGTCGAGGCTAGTAAATTGGTTTTCTATTTTACCAGTAGGGAAACTAAATTAATTGGCAAGGCATAAATATATGTAAAGTACCAAAGAAGCTAATGAGAGACTGGCAAGGATACTAGTACTAGATTTACCCTAGAGTACCCATTGGGCATGTCTTGCACAACACAGCCAGAAGGGAGCCTCCTGCAGTTCATAAATGTTGGTGCACCGGAGGTGTCGCGAATGACGTCAACCGACACGTCAACCACAGCCCACACGCCCTCTGCGAGCTGCTTGCAGAAACGGAGGAAATTGACCTCACGAACCGGAACCAAAGGTGATAGGACTTGCAACTCAGCATGCATCTGAAATGTGATTAATTCAGATCAAATGCAGAAAAAACAAAGTATATGTTTTAATTTAATTTTTTTTCCTTAGGACTGACGATCGTATTTACCAGTTGAAGTGCACCATTTCTAGTTCCTCCCATGCCACTGGAAATCACATCTGTGGTTGATGTTCTTGCAATCACACCAGGAAACATCTCCAACCATCGATTCTGTGGAAAAACAAATTCAAACAAGATGACAACTAAATTTGAAAATTTGAACATAAAATAAGCAAAAAAATAACAAGCATCGGAAGCACCAACAAATACCAAAAAAGCAAAACATCATCATCAATTGCTATAACAATTGATTGACTCAGATCTCAAACAAGTAAGTGTTTGGATTATTACCGAATCCATCAAAGTTTCAACAAGAGTTAAGCTGTTGATGATGACCATTCCAGACTCCCTAGAAGCCTCGGAGACAAAACCACTCGGTTTCAATCCGATGCAAGGAGTGAAACTTCTCATGTATTCCTCATGGTTCAAAACCTCCCTTCCACCCTCCAAACTCCTTAGCCAAAGGGGCTCATCTGTCTGAGCCATCTTAACCAATTCATCCATGGCAGCCAAAGCAAGCTCTAGAAACATCGATCTCTCTATCGACCGGTCTAGCCCCGTCACACTCGGCCTACCATGAGACACAATTGACATAGCACTCCCAATCCCACCTCCAAAATCAGGTCCCATGGATATTGATGTAGCCACATTGCTCATCCCACCAAACCCATTGCTCCCAACTCCGAGCTCCAAAGTGGAGCTCGGAAGCGGAGGCCCCATGGATGTAGCCAGGGATGAAATGGGTCGGCCTAGAAACTTTCCGGCCAGTGTACAAACTCGGTCCAACTCGTCCTTCAATCGAGCATTTTCGATCCTGAGATGCTGCTCGTCTAGTGATATATCTCCAATAATTGCCGGACCACCACAATTTGAGCAAATTGGGTTCCTCATAGCGTCACGAATCGACATGTTCTCCGCTCGGAGCTTATCGTTCTCTTGCCTCAGCAACGAGTTCTCATGGCGTTCCAGTTGCGTCTAAAAATCCAACAACCAAAACTCCATCCACATCAAAGCAAAAAATAAAATTAACACTGAAAGCGAAACCCCAAAAAAAAAAAAAAAAAAAAAAAACAGGAGATGAACATATTTACCTTCATCTGGGTTCGGCGATTTTGGAACCAGAATTTGACTTGTCTGGTCTCCAAGTTAAGCCTTCTGCTGAGCTCCAATCTTTGCTTCTCATCCGGATGAGGGCACTCTTTGAACAGCCTAAAAACCACAAAAAACCAAACATATAAAAAAAATAAAAATAATTAAGAACTCAAAAAGTTATCATTTTATGCAGCATCAATATAAATGAATAAACCAGAAAATGGGGGTTTTTAATAAAATACGCTTCAAGTTCTTGGATTTGCTGAGGGGTGTGTCGGTGGTAACGCTTCTTCTTACGAGGGTTGTTGTCAGCGGCATCTTGATCGTCCCCAGAAGCACCATCCATGTTATCACTCCCGGATCTGCTCTCGTGTTCTTCCTCTCTGCTCCTTCTCCCGCCGTTGTTTGCCTCATAACTCTCGGCCACTCTCGTCACATCTCCTTGCCCATCCACATTTGTCTGCTGATAATAAATAATAAATAAATAAATAACACAAATCAGAACCAAAAAATAACAAAAACCCAGATCAGATTTCAGACCACTTCATCAGAAACAAAGAAAAATCGATGGGAAAAATGAAAAAAAATAAGAGATTTTTACTAGGGCAAGTGAGAGTCCCGGAGAGTTGAACATAGATTTAGTGAGAGACTGAGTTACAAGGTGTGGCTGAGCGATTGCACTCGATGGCATGTTGTTGTTGCTATTGGTGTAAGGAATATCAGCCACGATTCTCGCACCGCCACTACTGCCGGTACTGTTGTCAAGAAAACCCCCAAAACTCATCAAAAATAACCCCAAGACTTTATTTTTTTTCTTTGGTTCTTCAACCCTGTCAAAGCAAACTCCTTTCCAGATTTTCCTCCTATTTCTTTACAAATTTACAGCTTAAATTCCCCTCTCTCCCTTAAAAATATTTGGACAGAAAAAATATTTAATAGAGGCAAAGAAGACAAACGGTTCAGAGATAACCCAAATGTCTCCAAATCCCTCTCTTGTGAATGAGAAAAGTTTGGTTTTGGAGAGAAAGAAAGAGAAAGAAGGCAAGCAAACCCTTTTTTGGTACACTCCAGCTGCTTAGCTCTTCGTTCTCTATCCCTCTCTCTCTCTCTCTCTCTCTCTCTCTCTCTCTCTCTAGCTTTCTCTCTCCAAAAACTCACCAAAACAGCTAAGCACCAGAAGGGGGCTTAAATGACTGCTATTTCGTTTGGAGGACATCTAAATGGGGGAACCCTAGTTTTTAGGTGAGAGTGTTTCTTTGGTTCCACGGCATGCTTGACTATGCTAAAAAGGTCTGAGAAAATTTATAAAAAAAAATTAGAGACGGTAAAGGAAAAAGCTTTTTTTTTTCCAAGATTTGTTGCAGAGAGAGGAAGGAAAAGAAAAAGCAAGAGAGAGAGAGAGAGGAGGGAAGAAGAAGAGAGAGAGAGAGAGCTGAAGCCTTTTTTTTTTTTTGGTAAAGAGAGAGAGCAGAAGATAAAACGCACTATGTGGACTCTTCGAAGCCTTACAAAATACAAAGCTCCAAAAAGGACCGGTTGACTCTCCACTCTCTCTGAAAGTCTGTGAAAAAACAGTAAAAAATTTCTAACCTTTTCGAACTTTTTCTTCTGAATTATCAGATCTATGACTTTCTCTCTCCTCTATCATCTTTCTCTCAACTTGGTACTGGTAAATGGGATTTTGTACTCAAGTTTGTTTCTTTACGGGAGGTCTGGATTTTCCAGCTAAAATCTAGATATGTGCTGGAGATTTGAACTTTCTTAGGTCTCGTTTGGCAGCTCGGACTGTACTGACTATTTCTGTCGGATAGGATAAATAGTCATCGGATAGTACTGACTAAATTAGTCGGGCGTTTGGTGCAGTATCGGACTAATGACCGTATTATTTATACTGTGTTTGGTTTTATACCGGCTAAATCAAACTTAAAATTAAATTAAACTTATAAAAATAAAAAAAATATCTGAAACCATCCCTTCTTCTTCCCTGTTCTCTCCGCCGCACCCCTCAAACGTCCTCCCTCTCTCTCCCTTCTTCTTCCCCGCCTGCCTGCACATCTGGTGAGCAACCAGGAGTCATCAGATCCACATCAACCCAAATCAAGAGTGCATGCTTCTTCGCAAGACTCAGTTGCAGGGGAGGACGACGACGGCGACGGGGAGGACGCCAATGGACGACGACGTCGACGGGGAGGACGAAGACGGCGACGGGGAGGACGCCGATGGTGAGAGAAGGTGACCGGGGGGGGAGGACGACGACGCCTATAGAGAGAGAGAGAGAGAGGGCCGACTAATAATCCCGGCCTTTTGGTTGGTTTTATTAGTCCGGTGTATACCGTACTAAATAAGCACACCGGTTAATTTAATCCGGCGCTTATTTAGTACGAGTGAACGCCAAACACCCGCGTCCGTATAATTAGTCCTATCCGATCCTCTATCCGATCTGCCAAACAGGGCCATCTCCGACCAAAGGTTGGTCAAATGATTCGTTTTAACCATCTGATTCTTCAAAAAATTAATATTTTAATAAATAGTACAGGATCATATTTGTCTTATTTCCAACCGAGGGTCAAAAAGTCATATGACTTGTTTTAGCCTTATCACAGAAAAATCGTCTCCGATCGAGGACCAAAATGTCATAGAGTCAAACATAATTTATTATTTAAAAACTACAACTTAAATTCAAATTCAACGGCTAAACATAATATATGAAAAAAAATTTGTAAAATAAAAGTTATAGGAAAAACATATAATTTAGAAAAAATATAAAACAAATTTTGTAAAATAGAAGTTACAGGTTATATAAAAAAATAGAAGTAATAGGAAAAAAAAATTCTGTAAAAAATTAAAATAAAATAAACTGTAAAAAAAATAAAAAATAACGGCTAGCTGACGTCAGCTAGCTGTTGCATTTGAAATTTGGCCTAGAATTCATGACGGTTATATCCGACAAGAATGCTAGAATTTCTAGCCCAGCCAGTTGGCCCTTTGGCCTTTTCAGATTCTATGGGGCCCACGAGTCCTCCGGCCTAACCCTCGGTTGGAGATGATTTTTGGGCTATTTTCGACCTTCTGGACCCTTCAGTTGGAGATGACCTTACTTTTCCTTTGTTCAGACAATATAAAGATGATAGATAGTTCTTAAATAAAACAATAATAGTTCATTTGATATGGTATTTAGTGTTTGTAAAAGAAAATGGTATGCAGAAAATATATGTGACAACTCATCCCTAGTTCTAGAATTATATAAATTTTAAAGCTGTGAATTTACAAAAATGCCCTGAGAGGCGAGGGTATTGACTTACGTTGACCAACGTATGGTGAGACATATGAAATACTCCTTTAGCGTATTTTTATAGTACTCGACAATACGGCTGCGTAGGAGCAAGCAGAAGCGGATTGGGCTATTGATGTTATCATTTATTATTTTATATATATTTTTAAAGTACCATTACATTATTTTTAAGATTAACTTTGATAAGAATTGGGGGAAGGAGAAGAAGAAACGGGGGGAGAAAGGAGAAAAAAAAAAGGGCTATTGGCTGCCCAATGAGAGAGGAAGGGAGAGAGAGCTTCAGCCAAGGGTAGGAAGAGAGAGAGTGAAGGTGACCAATCAGAGGAAGGAAAGGAAGGGAAAGGAAGGAGAAAAGAAAAATAGGGGGGGAACTGGGTTTCCCTCAACCCGTGACCCGACCCGATGAATTCTCCCATCTCCGGCCACCTTGGACGACAAGGTTAGTGTCAAAATGACCCTTACCACGAGGCCAACTGATCCCTTTTCCATTTTCATGTGAAAATTGGGTGGAAAATTGGTGAATTTTGGGTAAAACCGTACAAGAAGAGGCGCACGAGTTAAGTTCTATTCCCCCACGATTTGAAGCTAGCTCCTCCAATTACCACCACCAATAGACTCCCTTCAACCTCAGGAACAAAGCCCAAACACTTGTGGAGGTGTCGAAGTGAGCATGGAGGTCGAATCGAAGCACACCCTCTTTAGGGTTTCCAACGGATTTATGTAAAATTGAGATGTTTCTCGGCCAAATTGGCCTTGGTTACAAAAATAAAACTTACTCTACTCATTGAGATCTTCATTCCTATAAATTTTGGTAATTTTTGGAAATAGTTGGATTTTCCTGCGAATCGAGGCGGCCGACCGCCACCCACGACGGCGAGTGCGGTGCCCGTGGCCAAGGGACCGTCGATGATACTCTTAGGTTAAATTAGATGCCTTGAGTTCAATTTTGGTAATTGTATAACGTAGGTTGATCGTTTGAACCTAAATCCCTTACGATACGTTACTTGGTAAAATGTGAATCAACGATCCGACCGTTGGACCGTCACCAAACTTTAAACATTATAGTACATAATATTTAAAGACCATAGAAACTTACGGATTGGGAATTCGACGGACGGATCATCCCAAATTGGATTTTTAAGTTCATAAAATAAAATGTTGACCGCCACTTGGTTTTTGGCAATTGGCGGAGATCCGACCATTGGATTGTAATGAAATTTTATGATGTTGTTCTAAAAGCATAATGTGAATCTTTGGAAGTAACGGATCGGAAATCCGTTATGCGGATCTTCCGAATCAAATTTTAGGGCTGTGTTTTATGTAAATTATGTATTCTATCAATAAGAATTCTGAGATGTGATTTGATATTTGGTCACAGGCGCTGATCGTTCATGACATCTCTATATGTGTGCTAGGGGGTTGTAGCGTAAACTCCAGGTGAGTGAGTCTTTTCCCTTCTATCGCATATTATATATATATATATGATTGATAATTCCATAAAACGTTTATAAATTGATTATTTCTTACGATTAATGTCAATGTTTTGAAGTAATTATTGTGAACTACGAATGGCTTGATCCCTATTTAGGGTACGTAGGCAGTCTAACGAGACGTTAGATGCAGCCATACAATAAATGAGACTAAATAATTGAGACAATAGCCTTGTTTAGGAGATTGAGTAATGTGAGGGATATTGGTGGAAAATGTGAGATTTAACCTTATGAATTAGTGGTTAAATGTTAGTCATAAATCAATGTGTGAAGAATCAAGAATTTAAAGTACGGAAACGTACTTAATGATAGTTAATTAAATTAGTGTCTAGTTGGGCTTATCACCGATAATTATTTCCGAAAATAAATAGTTCGGGAGTAGGGCATTACAGCTTATGCATTTTTATGCCATATAATTGAAAATTCTATAACATGGTTGAGTATTAGATTGCATCATGGTTTATCTATATGTATATTACCTGCACATAATTATTGTGAACGCTTGAAGTGCAAAGGTGAACACAGGACACCCAAGTAAGTTCAGGTGGGTTTGTGATATTAGTTGAAATAATGGAGTTATGGCATGACTATATAATGTTTTAAGCAACTCTGACATTGTCGTACGGGTTGCTCATGAATTGTACATGTTATGTTGAGATGCATTGAGAGCTCATAAACCTGCACCCCGGTGTTAATGCACCTGCCCGTGGCCAGGATACAGTCTTTCACGTGATGTTCACCTCCCGCACCTTACGCTCACCTTGGATCCAATGTAGGTGCACAGTCCTATCGTACATACCACTTTAGGTTGTTTCGACTCGTAGGTGACCGGCGATTATTCACACAGTCTTCACGTGATCGTAACACTAGAGCGTATTACACCTAGTCTTGTCGTACATACCAATTTAGGTGGTTCCGACTCGTGTGCATGTATACTTATTGAGCTATAGATTCAGTCGTATAGGACACAAGAGGTGACTCCGACTTATGAGTTAACATATGTGATAAGATATAGATTTAGTCGTACAGGTCACAAGAGGTGACTCCGACTTATGAGCTAGCATATGGGATGAGACATGGATAAGTCGTACATATCACTATAAGTGATTCTGACTTATGTACTAGTATGGATTATTAAGCACATGATTATTTATATTACTGTTGAGCTGCTGTGTTGTGGTATACTTCTGGATTTAATGTTAGCGTACATTTGATATCAC